TTTTTTTTGAGTCTATGTTAGGATTTATTCGCGTAGTTACCAAAATTGTTAAGCCATATTCAGGTGGACAGTGATGGTGATCGTTGCCAATTACAAGTGTGCAGTGTGGGATCAGGATCATTGAATGCATATGGTGTTCTCGATACTCATTATAAGAGAAAGATGACTGACGAGGAAGCATTGAAGTTAGGGCGTCGTGCTATCATGCACGCCACATACAGGGATTCCGGCTCTGGTGGTGTTTGCAATAGTGAGTTAAAATCGATTTTTTACCAGCTTTTGTGTCACTTGCAATTGTTGTTATTTAGTTGTTCACATCACGCCCAAGGAGAAGATTCGCCTACCACCTATTGATGTTAGCAAGTTGTGGTACGAGTTTGCCGATGAGCTTGGACGCGACATCGTGTATGAACCTCGTGACGAATGATTTCTTCTACTCTTAATACACGTATATAATTGTTTGCATTGGTTTGAGGTTGTATCTCTAATAAATTAATTCATTATTCTTCTATCTGTTCTTAATGGTTGCGGCCAAATTTACTGTAGTTCTTTTTCTCAAGAGGGAAGGGGCTGGCAGTGTGTAGGCGAGTATACTCTATATAATATACTATATAATATATATTAGCTGCCCAGGGTTCCTTTTTCCTGGCAATCATTATCTTGTGTTGAGTTGTATGAAAAATCAGTTGTATGGAACTAGATTCAGATTTGATTCAGATTTGATATAGGTTCTCAATCAAATTAGGATGCATAAGATAAAAAGGCGTTTTCGCCAAAATAAGTCGTTCATAATGTTTTTTGGGGAAATGGATCAGTAATCACTGAACATAATACACCATATCATCCAGAAAGCTTTTGGGAGATGGACGAATTTTTGTCCATGTGTCAGACAGCTGAAGAAGATGAGCCAGATTCATATGGCTCTGTTGTTGGCTCTCAAGAAAATGACGCAAATACAAGGTAAAGTCATGTTCTCTAAGTCTGGCAGCATCTGTTGCTAGTTTTTTACTTATTTCTTTAAAAGTAAAACTTTAGCTCACCACATGAAGCAGAAAATAGAACATGCACGAATACAGAGGTAACGAATTGCAATGATTTGTCGCTAGACGACGATGTCCCTTTAGATCCATGTGAAATACAGCGTTAGTGCTTAAACTACTTTTCTATCTTTGATTTTGCTATTATAGTGCTGAAACCGCTGAGCACTTATCAATGATCAAATTTCTAGTGCAGTTAGAGGAGTTAGAAAGGAAGAAACAAGTGCTCATTAAACGAGCGCGTGCTACCGTTTTTGGTCCAGAGAATAGTAATGTCATTTCATCGAAACCGAAGAATGGTAAGTTTTTGTACTTATTTTGGAAATAGACAAGTTCTCACATACTTCTTACTAGCCAAAGTATGGTCCTTTCTTAAGGTTTGAAGCTAGTTGATCTGGATTTTGACGGATCTTCCACATGTGATAAACCGTGTACTTCGCGACAAGCACTTTCAGTACATGCTGACGAAAGTGATGATGAATTTATTGACGACAAAAAGTGTTTTTTTTTTCTGAAGTTACTTTTTCAATTTATGATTTTATGATTCTGCTTAAGTAGCCTGAATCAACTTTTCACACTGCACTGGAGAGATCTTAGAGATTTCGTCATTTCGTTATTTGTATGCATAAATATGTTCTTTTTTATATTCACTTACCCACTTTTCAGAGAATTAAATGAGGCTGGAAAGTTAATCCAAAAACAGCTTATTCAGAAAGAAGAAGAGATTCGAATAAGGCAACCGCTTCATCTGAACTCATTGGTATTACCTGTCTTCTCTTCTTTATAGCCT